CTTGTGAGCTCCCCTCACCCATTTCAAACAGGGGAGATTGAGTCATGAGTAGAGATTCTTGCTTTAAGACATGCCTCTCCCAACAGAAGACTAAGCTGACATTTCTTCTCCCTCCATCCAACCATCCAAAAAGCTTTTCTGTAAAACTCTGTGATTATGCCCAGTGCTATAAAACTAAAATATAATTATATTATGAATCATTATATCGTGATATAATAAATAGACGCATAGTGAAATACCTCAGTTCGCTACCTTCGGCAGTGTGGTCAGGCTGAAGGCTGCCAACCTGAAGAGCAGAAAACTGTACTGCCTTTCACTTTCAAAGCAAGTGAATATAGCTGTTCTCTAGGGTGTATAATTGTATCCCTAATTGTTCAGAGGGTCCTCATTGAGGAAAAACTTCCGAAGTGAGTACCATGACTCTCCTGCATGGAGTGAAAAGCACTCAACAGCCTCTGCCCAGGAGCTGCTCTGGCTTCTGGGGAAAGTTTGACTCAGACCCACACCTATCATGCCATGTTTTGGTCAAGAACTACTGATCTTGTGGATTCAACCATGACCCATGTTTTGCAGAGCGAAGACTGATGCACAGTTGAACTGCCTGTTCCACTGCATATTTACGTGATGGACAAGCTTCATGCTCAGGTGAAAAGATGCACTGTCTCAGTCTTCTTGGTCTCTGTACACAAAGTGTGGATAGTTTCTGAGAGTGAATCTAGATTTAAAGATCGGGAAAGGCTAAGTTATCACCAAAACCCTCTGTCTAATTTTAATGGTGACTTGTGTTGCAACACAATTTAAAGTCTCCACCTTAGAAGAGGCTACCTGATGCTCTGCCCCATAGAAAGCCACAGCAAGGCAAAGTCCCTGCTGCACAAAGTAGAGCTTCGAAAAGAATCACAAGAGTCTCTCCCAGGAATACCAACATCACAGCATCACCTGGCCCTTTTGATCTGCCTGCTGGCTGACTCCAGTGCCTCCCATTTGACCTAAAATCCCTGTTTAACTGTGTTTGTGACTAGGCTGGCCCACACACAGGAACATCAAAATGTGGATCCGGGACTGACCCTACTAACTCCCTTAAGTCTCATTCCTGATGGGCAGCCAAGCCCCCAGAGTACCTGATTCTTGCACACACCTTGCTTATCTGGCTCTGCTTGCATTCCCACACTGTGTGCAGGAAGCAAAGAAGGACAAGACACCTGCCTTGCGCTTCTTCTGGATGTAACCTACCAATGCTATGCTGTAGGCTGCGACTTTAGATGTTCCTGAAGCAGGAATGATAAATAAAGAGATGACAGAACAGGAAGACAGCTTGGTGGTGCTGACTCGGTGCAAAATGAAGGCTTCTGTACTTCCCACCCCAAACAAAGCACCCCAGGGTTGTAAGTCACTTTGCTCAAAAAACACTTCTGTGATACCGTAAAATTGCTAGTGCTAGTTCATTAGGGTGAGGATGATTAGATTAAACAGCCACTGCTGGGGCAATAAAATCAGCCGTGCTTCATCAGGCGCTAGAAGAGTTGCAAAGCTAGGAATGTGCTGTGGGACAAAAGCTTTACAGAATAAGTGATTCAGCCATACCAAGACTGGTAGCTGGAGGCAGATAGGGCAGGCAGAGAAACACTGAGCAGTAGCATCAGTGGGCATAGAGTGACCTTTACTGACCTTTCTTAACCCTGTACTCACCCCTCCCTGCAGAAACCAGAAGGGATAAGTGGCTGCATTGAAAATGACGAAAAATAAGCGGCTGCCTGAAAATGATGAAAAATCCTATCACCTCTTGCCTCTGGGATGAGAAGGAACATACGACCCTAGAGATTTTTATATGGGAGGCACAGACACTGGTCTGGCAGATTATTCACAACACAACACTGTCTCCATGATCTTGCAAGCTACATGCAGTTGGAAGAAGAGAGATTGTTTTGTTGCAAAGAGCACAAAAATAGGAGCTGGAAGGTAGGTGGGTGGGTGATGTGGGGAAACCACATGTTGGGAGAGGACTAGATAAGACAATGCATGTAGCAGGGAGCTGCTGTGGGAGATATCCTGAAGAAGCATGCTGAGCACATCAGTCCTGCAGGACCTGACACCAGGCCAGATGTCTCAAGGAATCTAGGAAAGTCAGTTACCTCCTAAAGGAGCTGAACTCTTTGATTATGCCTTACCTCTGGAAGTTTTCAGTGTCAGATTGGATAGGGCCCTGAGCAACCTGATTTAGTGGAAGGTGTCCCTGCCCTTGGCAGGGGGCTTGGAACTAGAAGATCTTAAGGTCCCTTCCAACCCAAACCATTCTGTGATTCTATGATTGTCTTCCAAGGAAATTATCCATTTGCAAACACCATTTCAAAGTTCTTAATTCTCTCTGGGGATTTTTAATGGGTCTGAGCACTCAGTCAAAGCACATATATCCCTACTAAAATTATGCCAACTTGATGTGAACAGTCAGTTCAATCTTCTCGTGCCCCAGTGAATTAAAATCTTAGAGCGTAAGGACAAAAATACTTTACAGCATGGATTTGGATGGTTGGTAAATGAGGAAACTTTACATGTTCAGGTTTTATATAGATACACACATACAGATAAACATCTATAGGGATGCCATATATAAAACTGGGAGTGCTAAAGGCATGCATGAACTCACACCTCTCATGTACTGCACCACTACTTCAAAATGTCTTTGCTAGTCCAGAGAAAATAATCAATTTTATGACACGAAATTCAAAGCACAAAACCTTTTGCTTCTTAGTTGCTACAGGTTAGATCAGCTCCACCTAAATCCTCAAGGTCACAGGCATTTACATCTGAAAACAAGAATTTTGCTGTGATCCCCTTACTCAAAAGTAGTTTCCAACTCTTACTAGAGAAAGAATATCCAGAAACAATTGATTTGATAGTCAGAGGACATGAACAGCTATACTCACACACTTACACAGAGACACTGTTCACATTTGTCAAAGCAAAGCCACTGAACACACCGAGTATTTTCCTCCTGTACACACCTCTGCAGTTCTTTTCCATTTGCACCATACAAACAGTAACTTGTAAAAATTCATCTTCAAAGGTGAAGAAAACAAAATTTAGAAATCCCAATATGCAATCCGCAATCTTAATAACCATAGAGGTGGCATTAAAAAACTCTCCTGGACACAATTATAGCTGGCTGCAGATATGAATTTACACTGGAGAGAAAGATAAAAAACCTTATCCAACTATATTACACCTTTTCTCTAATACCATCCTCAGAAACAAACACATTTTAAATCCTGAGAGCAGCCTTCATCAAGTTAAATATGTTGTGATGGTGCCTGTATACACTACATTCTGCATTGCATCTTCATTTGTTTAAGGAACTACCTTCCCGTGTGTGTGAGATTTATTCCAAAGCACACGGCACCAGTGGTGTGAGATGTCTGCTTGCCCACTTAATAAAAGGAGACTTCATTTAATTCCTACAAATGCATTTATCCTACATGCACCCTGGCATGACCTGTAGTTACCAAACTGCCAATAAAATGTCAGCTTATCCTGTAAAATCAGCAATGCCTTATTCTTAGGAGTGAGGCAATTTGAAATTATTATGGAGCATCTACATGCAGCTACTTTGAAGATGATAGCTCATTAACTATAATTAAGAGCAAATAATTTAAATGCATGAATGTAGAAAAGCGCATTCTCTGTTCTGACTGCATTTTATCATACAAAAAAATCCCTCTGTAAGTACCAGTTAATGCATCATCTTAAGTTTAAGAATATCAAAGCACCTTTTAATTGTTCTTAATGCTCTGTTTACACTGGATTAATGTCTAATTAATTGTAATTTGAATATTTAATCTCCCTGGAAAGTTCAGAATTTTTTCCTTTTTTCACTTTCATTACACACTGACTACAGCCTCCCTCCAGTGATTTTGAAGACACAGTTCAACAGATTGCTCTCCGAAGCAGCTCCTGCCACTAGGTAGCTCCATGTTCTTAGCTGGGGTCAAACCCGATCACCGTCGCCAGTCCCACATAGACCCTTGCACCTCTTCTCCTGCAGCGCACTCCTGACCAGCAAGCAGTACCAGTCCTGTTCCAGGAAGGCTTGCACTCCTGAATTGCTAATTCCAGAAAGGTTTCAATGCATTTACCAGCCTCTTCCTACTGAAGGGGCTGACCCCCTTGCGGGATGCTTTAGTGATACCCGATCCAGAAGGATGGGGCAGGCACAAGGGACTTACCCAAAGTCAACCCCTCTCTGCCACCGAATAGCAGGGACCACTGCTGTCTCCTTGCCTCAACCATCCCTCCCTTCAACTTAGCTATTACTACTCGCAAACTAGAGAACGGGAAGGAAAAGAAATTCAGTCTGGCCCCTCTGGAGCAGGATAGTGAGGGGAACGAGCAGCTGTGGCTGTCAAGAGCCCAGCATCTCTGCCGCCTGCCCCTTGGTTCTACCACGCGGCCCGCAAGGGGCCGCGCACCGCCGCATCTTCCCCTTCCCGGGTCAGAGACTGCCCTGGGCTGGCAAGGAGCTGGGAGGGAAAGATGCTCTGCCACAGTGCGCTGAAGAGGATTCTTCATGGGGAAGAGGTGGGAAGGGAAAAGGAGGACCCCATGCACACTCTCCCATCCAGTGCTCCCAACCCACACCTCGCGAAGGCACTGGAAAAGCTTGTCCCTCCCCAGACCCTCGGCGGAGAGGGCAGATGATGCTAATTTCGACTCTCACCAGGGCACCGGAGAAACACCTCTGCGGGCAGCGCCCCACCGCACGGCGAAGGCAGGCTCCCCCCAGTCCCCGCGCTCCCCGGGGCTCCCCCCGGAGACTCCGCCGCGGCAGCTGCGGACGTACGCGGAGTACGCGGCGCGGGGAGGGGGAGGGGGTTTGGTGTATCGCTCCCCGGAGGGGATGGGATGGGATGGGATGGGATGGGATGGGATGGGATGGGATGGGATGGGATGGGATGGGATGGGATGGGATGGGATGGGATGGGATGGGATGGGGGGTGGTCACTCACCTCCCTGCAAGGTGACCCGCAGCGCGGTGCTCCTGCTGTGGGCTGCCGGAGGGGTGGCGAAGCTCCGGGCTGGCAGCGCTCATAGCCCGGACGCGCTGCCCGCCGGCATCCTGGCTGGGGGCTGCGGCGGCGGGGGCGGCGGGGGAGCGGGGCCGGGTGCGGGACCGGAACCGGGAAAGGGCGATCGACCGGCGGGGCTGCGCCGCCTGCAGCGCCTGGCTGTGCTGTGCGCTCAACTCGCGGGGAAGAGGAGGAGGAGGAGCAGGAGGAGGAGGGAAGGAGAAGGAGAGAGGCAGGAGAATCAGTCCTGCGTGGCAGTGCGTCCAACTTTCCTTCTGCAGCAGGAACAGCCTCCATACCCTGTTGTGTAGACCCCACCTCGGGGGAGCATAGCAAAACCCGCCCCTCTCTGCGCCCTCCCCACCCCATCCTTCGTCCTCCTCCCTGGGCCTTCCTCCTAGACAGGGATCTCCTTTTTTCTCCACCCACCGGAGCTCGGCGATTATTCAGAGGCATCGAGTCCACTCGCCCCAGCTTTGGCTGACCCTACACCTTGGCCTGCCACAGAGGGCCCCCGGTACTGTTCCCCCACCCACACAGGCACCTGCCAACATGGAGCTGGGCACAGCTCCCCAGGGCTATGGGGAAGCTCTAGCAGGTCTGAAGAACTTTATTTTATTTGTGTTTTATTTTTTAGTGTAGTGACGAGTGCACCAGGCTGCGGCATTGAGGGGTGTTCCCAGCTTTCTTAATAACTGTGCATAATATGCGTAAGCAGTGTTCATTCATTCCTCTTTCCATCCCTAACAGGCCTGATAGCTAAGTCATTTGCCTAAAAGCTTGTCTGTCACCACTTTTCCAGATGCTTAAACATCCAGGGCTCAAAATGTTGTTTGGAGATCACATGCCCCTTTTAGATCACTGCTTTCCTTTGCCACTGCAGGGAAACAAGAGGATGTGTAACCCTGGTGCATTTTGGTTGCCTCCATCTCTCTTTCAGGGTTAAGGCTGTTATCTCTCCCTGCTTGCCTGTTATTTGTTATTCATACTCCCAAAATAAGCCATGCCAGATCTTTGCTGAAAGAGGATGTTCAAGATTTAAAACACATTATCTAACTTGTAGTCCATCATAGGGATTTTAAGCAGAAAATCCCTCCAGCCTTTGCTCTTCCACAACTTTTCAATTTTCTTCCAAACTCTCACTTGCTTTGAGTATATCCTAGTGGTATTCACAAAACACGTTTCTTTCCATCTAAATATTTGGGCCCTTGTTCACTGCTGACTTGCTCCAGACTGCAAGGAGGTTTTGTATCTTAGAGAAAACGGTTTCTTCCTTTAATGTAACAGCACTGGGAGAGAATGTGTATGGAATTAGCAAAAGAAAATAGCCCCAGATTATGGTCACCCCTATTTCTCTTAAGTGTTTTTCACCTTTCCTTTGTTGAGAATAGAAGCCTCTAAGTCTCATTCATTATGCCTTTACTAAGTAAGACTTTTAGGAAAAAGACTATCTTTCCATTTTCCTTGTACAGGAACATAACTACAGGGGGGCCGGCTTGCAACCAAAGGACTTCTAGCTGCTACATGGCAAATTCATCATGCATTACTGCTACTGAATGGAGATATCAGCTCACTTGGATGGACAGCAAAATACTGGTATTTATTCCTGGTGAAATACAATTTCTTAGTGACCAAATGTATTTGTGAAATAGGAGGAAAGCCAAAAAGATCTATTAGAATTTTTTTCTTGGAAGAAAAAAAATGGCATTTATACAGAATGGAGTGGGGAAGGGATTTGTGGGGCATCAAGTCCAATTGTCTTGCTTCCAGGCAGCCACATCCTGTGAGCTTGTTTGTTTCCTTCTGACACTTCCAAAAGGTGGGTGTTTTCTGTATTGTTATCAAGATGAGGTTCAGTGACATCAGGGAAGTAATGATTTTCTCTAACACTGTTCCTCCACCTTTCCCATTCTCCCTGCACTAAACTAAACACATTCTTCATTCAGTCTGGGAAGACCATGGGACTTTGTGTCCATGAGGAAATCAGGTCTCATTTAATTTAGTTGAATTTTGAAGCAGAACTAAGAAAATCTAAGTAGTGAAACGATTACAATCCAACAACCATAGCAGGTGTAACTGTTGCTACAGACCAGGGCATACTTTGCCTTTTCTTCTTGCCAACCTCTTCTCTTGCCTAAAACCATACAAGAGCTTACCAAAACTCTAACTGGAGTTAATTATGACACTTCCCTGTTGCACTAAGCTTGGCATAAATTGGCCTATTCCTGATGCTGGGAAGCTAATGACTCTGCCTGATTTGATTTTGATATCTGCAGCTCACTGGTACAATTTGATTTTTGGGGAAGTTTTTCAAAGAGCAATTAGAAAGGGGTTTGCAGTGCAGTGAACTGCAGCAGACTGGTTTGCAATTTGGAGGTTTCTCTTCAGGTCTAGCAGCATCACTGAGAGTCCTCTTCAACATCAAGTTGTGCAGTGCATCCTTAATGCATTGTGCCAGCACATTTCACAGCTTCTTGTCAAGAGCTGTAGATGAGAAGAAATTGTGGAAGTTCCTGCTATGTGTTAAAGGCACTTTTCTCCAGAGCTGATGCAGATGCAGCTCAGTAGGAGAGCTTCTTTGTAGACAAAAGCACAAAGCATTGCACTGACAGAGAGCAGCATGAAGAGATGTTTGAAAGGGGCAAGGCAGATGAGGAAAAAAGTCCACATCCCTTAAGTCTGATGTCTCTTGGAGGCTCATTGCAGCTGCTTGCCATTCTAAGTGTATGCCAGCAACTTGCTAGGACTACGTAGCAGTCAGGGACCCCTTCTTGCTTTGATAGCAGGGAAATGAGTAATTGCTCCCCAGGGCCTCTGAGCAGGGCTCAGCTGTGGCCTGAGATCCTGAGAAGCTACCATTCAAATACCTGGTGAATAATAATAACAAGAATAATCATTGCAAAGAGAAAGACCAAAAGGCAAAACTGAAAGTCTAGAGCAGAAGGAGAAATGGAAGGGAGGCAGGGCGGCCCGTGTTGGCTTGGAACCTCCATGGGCCCTATACTCTCCTGCTCTCAGTGAGGAGCTAGGGATTTGGGAGATATCAAGACAGGACGCCACCTGGAAGCAGAAATTACAAGAGAAGTACAAACAGCTTTTCTTACAACATGGGGGTTTGCAGAAGTCAAGGAAGAGATGAGACTTTGCAGGCATATTTCATTATAGCTCCAGGGAAATAATGTCACCACTATTTGCTCTGACCAGGCCTTTACAAGGGCTGATGCTGACCAAACAATTGGCCACTGACTTCAGTGGAAGCACCCTAAGGAACAGCACCTGGCTAGTGAGTCACACTGTCCTGATCACCTTCCTGCTCTTTTCTCCTCTGGGTGTTTTGCACCACTGTCAGCAATCTGTTTATGAGAGCCCTTGGAGTGAGAACCTCTCTGAAAGCTTCCTGGCCAAAACCACATGGGAACCATCACAGCCTGGGAGCAGGAGAGAATCCTGGTCTGGAGACCACACATCCCCTTCTTCAGGGAAAGAAGGTGAGCTTTGTGGTAGCCATGAGGATTTGGGGAGCATCATTAGCTGGTACATCTGTTGATGTGCTAAAATGCTCATGGGAGCTGGTGGGAGAAATGTTATGCTGTGGACATCAGCTGTCCAAAATCTGATAATCTATGATGTGGTGTATGCTCATGACACCCTGAGTAGTAAAGACAGTAACCTGCAAGTGCATTCCTGGTCCCTAGGAAGAGCAGCAGCACCACCTATCACCAGAAAAAGAAGGAGAGAGGATAGACAAAGTGCTACTCCTTCTCCCTGATCCCAGTACAAGATTGGAGCCCATACTTTCTAGATGACCACAGAGAAACTTTCTTCTTCCAGCAGAAGAACCTGACTTAAATCTTTCCCTCCATGCTTTCTGCTGAAGACTCCTGCTGGCTCTATGAATGTCTCCTTATTTGTTCATCATTGAGCATCTTTTGCTGCAGAGGGAACAAAATGTCACTTAAGGACTCTAAAGCAATAGCTGAGTGGTAGACTGTCCCCCAAGGTCACCTGAGACTCAACAGGAACAGACTGCAGTGAATGTGAAAATGCTTGTTGGGTTAAGTGACGTAGGCCAGATGTGCTCAGCCTTAATAACTTGGGTGTGTGGTTGTGGAGTGATCTCGCTGTGGTACAGAGCTAGGAGGAGATAGAGGGATGGAAAGGTGAAGGTTTTGGGAAAGAAATGCTGAGAGCTAGTATTTACAATGACAATGAGCCAGAAAAAAACCCCAAAATACGGAATACAAAACTTCAGATCTACAACAACCTTATAGACCTACAACTGTTCGTTATTCAGAGGGCACAAGTAGGCTCCAGGACCCCTTGGCTTGTGGATCGGCACGTAAGGGTTCTGTCTGACAAAAATCCTGGCACCATAGATACTGGTGTGGTCATGGAGTTTGATTCGGAGTAATGGTACAGAACAATCAGGAAGCAGCCCAAAGTTGTAATCTCTTCCTGTCAAAGGCAAGAAGAATCTTTCCATGTAATTGGATCCAACCCCAAAGGTATAGCCAGGAGTGCTTTTAACTTTCTGAAAAACAAAAATTGGTTAGCTGAAATGACTGAGTTGTTTGGGTGCTGAAGTTTGTGTTGATTTGTTTGCTGATAGTTCTGAAACCAGAATAAAAATGAGATTTTGGGTTAACCCAAGCTGAGCATTTTTTTTCTTATTCTGTATTCATGGCAAATTGAAAAGGAAAAGATAGAATTTTTTGGCTGAGTGAACAACGTAACTTAGCTCAAGATCAAATGTTTCATTGCTTTGAACTCTTCTTATAAGAAGAGTTCTTATAAGCTCTATGTGCATACTTTCTTGTAATAAGGGAAAAATATAAATACAATCACTGTCACTCTCTGCTTAATGTGAACCAAGAAAGAGTGGCTGCTAGGTATCATTTGCTAGGAGGATGAAGTAAATAGGTCTTTACATCTGGTACTAAATTAATTTGCAAGGACCTGTTAGGAAAAGTGATACAGGACCAACCTTTTATGTATTCAAATCCTCAGCCCAGTCTCTGGAAGGGGTTGTCTTCATCTCTTTTGCTTTAGACAAGTTACATGAATTCTGCTAAAGTGGCCCAATTTTTCATATGTCCAGGAGCTGAGAGACTCAGAGTCTCAGAAAAAAATTGCATTGCTTTTATTTTGCCATCTGTGCCTCATCTCACTGTGCACAGTTCTAATGTTTGAACTTTTTGGGATTCTTCCAGCAAGCCTTACTGCAAGCACTGGCATCAATGTTTCCCTGTTTGTAAGGCAGCTCTTTGACCAGTTTGGGCAGCTCCAAGAGAGAGGGAACTCTGTAATTTTTGTGCTGACTTGCATTGCTGGCCTTCAGAGGTAGGCAGGAAAGGCAAAGGTTAGTGCTAATTGAGATGTGGCCATCTGTCAGACAGGAAGCATGCTAAGGCCACATTCTGGTTTGTTGGTTTTTTTTTTAAGGGAAGGAACCAGTCGCTGGTGACAATATTTATGTCTGAGATAATAAAGGTTCCTCTTGGATAAGATTAGGGATCTCCTGAGTTGTCCAGCATCTCACTTAAAATGCCTTTTCGTCCACTGAAACTGCAGCATAAGTACTTTGTTTAAATCAGGTACTTCTTTGGAGCTGAATGCCATGAAAATTGGCCTATTGTTTGTCTTATGGATTACTCAGGCTGCCAGTACGAGGGACGTGTCTATAAACATGCTTAGAGACCAGTCAGTCCTTTCCCCAAAGATCTGATAATTTAAGTTAAATAGGACAGTAAAAGCAGGGGTTGAAGGGAGGTACCTAGTCCCACTGAGCATCTTGGACCTATATTTATATATGGACATGTTGATGCCATATATATGGGCAGAGATTAAGTTGAATTAAATGGATTGCAGCTTGTTCACATTGGGTTGGTTCAGACCCTTAAGAAAGATGCTCGGGCCTGTGGAGAAGCCCTGTGTCATTCCAGCAGTGCCAATAGACTCAACACAAGTCAGCTGGGAGAGCTCTAACTCTGAAGTACTGGCTAGAAGCAGGAGGATGCTGTTATTACTCACCCCACGAGGGCAAGAGTAACCCAGATTCTTGTTAATAGATCTCTTGGGGTGTATTACAACAAGTGAAACATATTACATTCAGTGAAACAACACTGAATGATCAGTGTTTGTAAATGTACATATATAGGGCTTAATTTAGAACAATTTGGTTGCAATGGAAAGCAGGTATGTAGCCATTTGGGTTATTATTATCTATACTAATATGGCAATATGAAAGCACTTAAAAATATGGGCAAGGGAAAAACAAAGGAATAGGAAAAAAGGATAAGAGTAGAAACATTCATAATCACTACTCATGGATCTATGATAAGACTTGATTGCTGCAATTTAGTAGTACATTGGCTGAAGTGATGGTCTGGATTCCTGGGGGGTTGTTGTGGGAGGGTGAAGAGGGGGGGCTGGAAAGCTTAGACAAAAGTTACTAAAGAAGCCCTACCCTTGAGTCATGAGGTGCAGAAAGGACTCCTTCACTTTCTAAACTCCTTCTCAGGGAGGAGCCTGGATGCCCTTGAATCCAATCTTAGTCTCGGATTATGTCAGCAGTTTAAATTTAAGAAATTATAGAGGTGTTAATAAATTAATTTTTCCTGAAGGTTTTAATGATGCCAAATCAGATATATGAAATTAATTATTTATTATGACAAATGACAAGTGAACAGACGAAAGATCTTAATCAGAATTAATTACTACACAGTGTAAAACGTACTAGCAGTGTATGATAGCATAAAGTAGTATAGTGCACTGTATCCAAGCTAGTAAAAGAAACAATCATTAAGTAGAGATTGATATAACACAGCTCACTAAGCCCTGGGAGTAACTATGAACAGGCATCCCTTCTTCACAGGAGAAGCTCGACAGACTTCAAGAACATATGTGGAAGAATCTGCCATATGAAAGTTGGACTAGGCTTTTATAAAGTGATGGACTGATAGTTATAGGTTTACAGACCAGCAGGCAGCTATCTATAAAATGTTGCTTCAAAAAACAGGATGTGTGTTTGGATTTTGGTGAACCAGGCTGCTTTTAGAATAGCATAACACCAAAACAGCACCCTGGCACCAGCAGTAACTCGTTAAAGATAGCTTTGCATTCTCTGATCGGATTCTAGGCCTTATCGGGTTAGGTCATCCTGCAACAGGTGTGGGGGAAGAAACCTGTGAAATGCAATATCCCATGGGTTAATATACATTCAGGCCAGGTGGGAATGCCTGGTATCTCCCCTGAGCTGGAGGGAGCTTTCAGTCCTCCGGTGGAAGGCCTCAGAAAATGAGTCTGGGGGTGCTTTGGGGGTATTGGATGGTTTATGATCCCTTCTAAGACATGACGGCTGCTTCTCATGTCAGCACAGTTGGTCCAGTTATGCCCCATCAAACCTTCCCCAAGGAGAAAGGGGAAAGTTTTACAACTGAGTTGAGTAAAGGATGACAATTACCATGATTAAAGGCATTATCCAGCCTTGCAGGATTTGCCTCTTATTGGCCTCAAGGCTGAAGCAAATCACCCTGGTGCCTCCACAATTAAGTCATGAACCATTAAAAATCCACTCTCTCACAGATGCCACAACAGTTAGGGAGCTAAGATGAGCCCTGTGGATTAGATTTCCACCTTGGCAATTGTGATTTAAGAATTCCATGCTCTTTTCTTGCTGCCTGCAGTCTACACAGTGTGGGTGAAACCTGGAAGCTTAGAAGTGTCAACAGCAGCTGTGCACAAATGACATGATGGTTTCCAAATTCTCCATCATCCTTCAGATTTATGCTAGTCATTCCCTGTCCTGTAACATTGGAAAAGTGCTTTGGAGCTGGTAAGAAACAAATGAAAAGGCCTTTTTTATTCTGCACTAACAGGCTATGAAAATAAAGAGAAGTTCAGATTTGCGCCTCCAGTCTCCTGCTGCATCTTGTAACAGTAAGGACACAGTCCCACTGCTCCTCAGGATGTCAGCCAAGAGCTTGCAGACCAGTTAAGGCATGACAGGACCTGGCCTCAGTGTTGGCTGCACCTGGACAGACAATGGAAAATTACTTATTGTAAGAGAAGGTTCTGAACATGAGAGATAGCAAGAGTGAGAAGCTGATAAAAGTTACAGATAACTCCATGAGAAACAATCAGGTTTCACTGGTGGGCAGGAAAATAAGATGATGTATGTCTAGTACCTTTGGCAGTTTGGGATGCCACAGAAGTTTAAGAACTGTGATCTGGGGTCAGACTAAAGGTCTGTCTCCAAATGTGACCAAAAGCATGTGCCGAGAGATAGCTACAACAATGGCAAACATGGTGATATTTCTTTTAAACTCTGTACTAGCTCCCAGCACTTTTCAGCTCAGGCTTTTCCAGACAAAATCATTATCCACTCAGTATCCTTAACTGAAGCTCTTCCATAAACCTATCCCATCTCCTCTGGGATTCATATGCGCTGTCTCACCTGCACATCTTTCAGCAAGATCCTCCACAGATC